CGACGATGCGCTCTTAGGATTCAGGCGAATTCCTCAGACGAACCACATCGGAATTGTATACGACTCATATTGGAATCATATACGGATCACATCGGAACCGTATACGAACCGTACAGGAATCGTATACGTACGGATCATGGCCACGTTCGAGCTCAAGTGCATATGTTTAGCTCAGATCATGATCGGCCGTCGGTGATCGGACCGATCTCAAGCGCTTGTTCAGATTCCCATCGGGCGGCTTAAGGGAGTTCAGTGCACCCAGAAGCGCTCTTATGATCTCTCCCTTAATCGAAACCTTCTTGAAGCGACCCAAATTCATTGCAACCACTTCGGACCGCTCGCAACTGTTGTGATCAGTCCGAAGTGGTCGACGATCGGTCCGAAGTGGTTGCGATCGGTCTCCACCGCGGGAAGGGAGGGGGGGGTTCGAACCGGTAGTGACCCCCCCGGTTTTCGAGGGGGGGCGGGACGGGCTGGGAACCCCCAGTGACCGCCCCCCAGTTTTTCGCCAGCAGCTGTAGAACACGCTCTTTCAAATATCGAGGGGGGGCGTAATACGATCAGATACGAAGAAAGCACGGTAGGTATCGATCTCCGCTGGAACCCGTTGGCGGCGCTTCCGGCGCCAGCCTTGGCGCGTTCGGCGCGCCAGGGAGGGAGGTCCAGCTCAGATGCAAATGATTTGCGCGGACCGTCAACAATTTATAACGTTTATGCCCAGAGAAGGGGAACCGTTCAGTGATAGTGTTAACAAGTACGCCTGAATCGCTAACCCAGGTCTGCCGTAGCTTGTGTTTTCTTCGGGTGACAACAGTCCCTGAACAACACGCAGGGTGGGGAGGTCTTTAGCAGGCGATTTTCTCCCCAAATCCCCGCTCTCCGCCCGAAAAGTGCGGTCGCGCAGAAACGAGGAGCACTCTGGGATACACCCTGGGGGTGGGGCTATTCAGACGCACCCCTGTCGAGGATAAATGCCCTCCCCCCCTCGCATATTCTAGGGTTGGGCCCAATTTTTCGAGGTCCAATCGAAAGCCCTTCAATGCCAGGGGTTGAGGTCGCCATGCGCCCCTTTGGTCATCGCGGTCTGGCTTCCAGTGCTCCCTGTTCTACCTCAGGGGCGATTCGTAGAATCCTCGAGCAGCCCCCGCGGTGTTTTGACGCCCACAGCGCGGCTTCCGTGCGCGGCTCAGCTTCAGAGTCTCGGAGGAGGAACAGGCTCCCATACCTCTGCCGTTCCCCCGCTCTCCCTCTTTTGTTGCGCCTCCTGGGAGGATCTTCTTGTCGCCACCGCTGGCTTCGCCTCGAAATTTATGTCAGAAGGCAGTCCAGGAGAGGTCCGGGGAGCAGCGGCATCGGTACCCTTTCTGGTTGCCCCAGGTAGAAAAGCAGGTAAGCAGCCTGCAGGTAAAAAGTATAGAACATGATGCTTGAGGCATGTGTGCCTACAGCGCGCCCCCCGCGGCCTGGCCGCGTGCGTGCGCTTTCGTTTCTCGCCTCCTGCCTCCGCGGCCGCCTCGTGCTGTTGTGCTTCCTCTCTTGCATGCGCGACAGGCAATGCCACAGCCCGGGCTGCTGGGACGCGCGAGCAGATTGCCTCTGCCGCGCTGCGAGACGCCAAACGTGTGACCGCAGCCTCTTTCCGGTCGGACCCCTGACGAGCTCGGAGGAGGAACGGGTTCCCGCACCTCACCCCTCCCCCCGCTCTCCCCCTTTTTGTTGCGCCTCCCGGGAGGCTCCTGGTTGCCACCGCTGGCTTCGCCTTGAAGTTTCATGCCAGAACGCAGGCAGCCCAGGAGAGGTCCGGGGAGCCGCGGGATCGGTACAGTCAGCCATGACAGGAAGGATGGAGCAACTTTCCAGGGCTACCCTTGCGTCCTTGCCCCATCGGTGTTCGGCATCCTTCGGCACTCTGCAGCGCTCCGCACGGGAGACGTCAACAGGGCGTGCCAGGGCCCCTTTGCATCCTTGCCGCGCCTCCTCACTACCTCGGCCGAGTGTAGCTTTTTTGGTTTTCCCCAGCCGCAGCCTGTTCTTCCCAGTCGGCCGAGCGGCCTCGAGCCGCGCAGGTTCGGGTGCTGGGCAACAGAGAGCCGGTCGCCGCACCACGACGTTCGAGTCGGGCCTGTCCCTCGACAGGAGGAACCTTCAGAAATGGTAAATAGGGAACCGAAGTCTATACACCGACGCCTTTGTCTGGCCCCACACTGAATCTCGCACAGGAAAGCGGATCCTGGTGTATACGGGATCTTGGTGTATACATTCTTCGATGTTTCCCCAAGAAAACCGGGGAAAACGTATACACCACACCATCCCGACGTCGTCCTCGACCCTCAAAAAAGTTCTGGGATTGAAAAACCGCCCGCCACTGGTAATGTACATGCTCCAGTTTCCGAGTTAAAGCAAATTGTCAGGGGACGATGTTTTGAGTATATGATTGAACATTGTTGGCGAATTTGTTTTGACTCTGTTTTTAATTTTTCTTTCAAAGTCCCCCTGTAGGGGGGACATGCCCGACCTAGCACGACCTACGATCGAGGGAGGTCTCTTCGCGCGGTTCGGCTTATGCACTGCTCCTACTGTCCGACCTCGAGGGCTTGCCCAGCCCGCGTGCCTCCCTGGCCACGCCTGGAGAGCGCACCCGCTCATGTGATCGTTTTTTATCCATTGGCTGTTTTTTGCGCCTGTCCTCATAGGACGTACGGTTTCAATCGGTCGCACTCAGCAGAGGTCCGGAACCAGACCCCCCCCCTCCCCCCCCTTCCGCCCAATGTCGGAACGCCGAATAAGAAAACGCTCACCATTCTAGACGCAGGATGGGCCTAATCAGTGTCGGCATGTCTAGAGCCTGCGGTACGGCGTTGCGAGAACACTGCGCCATCGGGGAAAATCACGGCCGGAGCCCTAGACCGATTCGTGTTTGTTGCACTCTTCTGGCTGGATCGACCTGTGATAGTCTCAGGGCCCGAAGCTTGGCGCCAACGCCTGCTGCTACAGAACTTGCAACACCGGGGTCTCAAGGTATGTATACAGTCGGACCGAGGTATAAGATCGAGGTCGATTCGGGGAGGGTAGCTTAGTGTTCTTCGCGCTCGCTGGATATTCTTGTGCATCCTGGGGAGGGTACCCGTGGATGTTCTGTTTGTTTTGGCCGACGGAGGGCCTGAAGTTCTTGCGGGATGCTCTTCTGGCCTGCGTCCGATTGTGTGTAGTCGGCGTCATCCCAGACCCTGACACCTGCCGATGTAACGTTTCCGTCCTCGGCCCCAGATGTCCCGGCCGCTTCACTAGAGGTAACTGGCCGCCCCGGATTCTTTATTGATTGCCCCCGCGCCCAAAAACGGCCCCCGAGGGTCGAGACTTACGGAAAAAACGCCCAGATTGAACCGTCTCATGTCCTCAGAGATGTGAGGAAGTCTTCCGCAGAAGTCCCGACCTTTGTTGTTCCTCGGGGCCGATGTTTCAACCCGAGCAGTTGTTGGGCGGTTTGCGTGCGGGCCTGGCGAGAGCCCCCAGAGGCCGACACCCGCCAACTTTCGTCTTCATTTTTCAATGTTGGAGGTCTGCGCATGCATATTCGGCGCCCTCCCCGAGGTCTCTGTGATGATGTGCAAATTGCGCAAAGTATGGTATCGTGTGTCTTCTCACGCTCCGTATCTGTGAGGCGAAGTTGCCTTTGTATGCCTGTAATGTGGGCCGAGGTTCCCCAGGTTCCATCAGTCGGACCAGTTTTTGTTTCCATCCATCCTATGGTGTTGGGTCCTCGCTTTGAAGTGACAGTGCTGCGCGTCTTCTTCCCCTCCTCCCCCTCCTCTATCCTCCCATCCTATCATCCGTGCCTCTGCCCTCCACATGTTTCTGTTTCGGTACACCTCTCATACATTTCGTTGCGCCATAGGGAGCTCCACCGAGGGCCCCAGTGTCTGTGCTCGCACGGCACCGCCGCACTCATGTCGTCTTCCTCTCACACGTTTCGTGGCCCCATAGGGAGCTCCACCGACGGCCCGACTGGCTGCGCTCGCATGGCACCACCCGGACCATTTCGGCACACCCTTGACAAGTTGCGTGGCCCCACAGGGAGCTTCACAGAAGGCCCCAGTTGCTGCGCTCGCATAGCACCACTGCACCGACTACCGCACACCTCTTACACGTTTCGTTGCCCCATCGGGAGCCCCCCACACGTTTCGTTGTGCCATGGGGAGCTCCACCGAGGGCACCAGTGTCTGCGCTCGCACGGCACCACCGCACCCATTTCGGCACACCGCTCACACGTTTCGTGGACCCCTAGGGAGCCTCCTCTGAACGCCTTAATGGCTGCGCGCTCATTGCACCACCGCGCCCGTTTAGGCGCACCTCTCACGCGTTTCGTGGTGCCACATGGAAGCTCCGCCGAAAGCCCCTGATGGCTGCGCTCGCATGCCGCCACTGCGCATCTTCTGGCATACCCCTGACACGCTTCGTGGCCCCACAGGGAGCCTCACCGAAAGTCCCAGTAGCTGCGCTCGCATGGCATCACCACACCCGTTTCACGCATCACACGCTTCGTGGCCCCACAGGGACCTCCACCGAAGGCTCCAGTGGCTGCGCTCGCATGGTACCACCGCACCCATTTCGGCACACCCCTCGCACGTTTCGTGACCCCATAGGAAGCTTCACCGAAGGCCCCAGCGGCTGCGTTGCAATGGCGCCACCCCACCGATTTCGGCACATCCTTCACATGTTTCGTGGACCCATAGGGAGCTCCACCGACGCCCCATGGGCACAGTGAGCACGGCTGCGAAGCACCCCTTCCGACGTACCCCGCGCACAGTCCGTGGGCCCACAGGGAGCTCCGCAGAAGACGATGTCCACGACGGCGGCACTCACAACGGCACATGGTTGGGCCCCTCGCACTGCGGAACGCACAGCTCACCCGCATCCGAGCGGCCACGGTCCTCGCGCTGCGCTCTCCATCGGGCCGCGCCCTGGCGCGTACTGCGGCGCCCCGCCTCGCCTCGACGGAGGTCTCCGTGCGGTTCAGCTTCAACTGCTCCCTCTCCGACCTGCGGGACCTGCAGAGCGTGCTGGCGGCGCCGAACGAGCGGCGGTCCTCCGCGAAGTTCTCCCGGGCCCTGGCGCAGCTGCTGCAGGCGACGGCGCCCCGGGCCAGGGCGGCGTCGGCGTCCTCGCGCCCTCACCCGCGTCCTCGCGCCCGCGGGGGAGGGCCCGGACTTCCTCGCGCCTTAGAGCTCGGTCTTCGGGGGCAGCTTTTTCGGGCCAGCGGCTCCCAGACTGTCGGGTGAAGAGTTCTCTCCGTTTTTTCGGGGGCAGTCTTCGGGCTTCCCGAGCTCGTGCTCCCAGAACTCGTCCTCCCCGCAGGGGGATTCGGAGTGAGGGAGGAGAACCCAGACCCTTAAAGCTGGCTGGGGGTCTGAGCACTGGTTCGGGCCAGCAGGAAGGAAGGGAGGTCAGAGGCGCTAGGCTCGGGAATGTTTCTATTTTTGTTTCGGGCTCTGGGGGCCGCCTTCGGGCCACAGGACCGTCAGACACGGATATGGGGTGAAAACCTGCACGAGATAGACCCCCGGGAGGGATTCGGGGACCGATTTTGAGCGGGTTTGCCATCATCCCTCCGTCTTGACAGATGTTCTCTCGGCCCATCCAGCCGGATCACGGGTCGATCCGGCTCTAGATTTGCAGCAGAAAGTTGGGGTTTTGCCTACAGGATCTGATTTTTCGCGATGTTGTATTTGTTGCGCAGCGTCGGATCTCGGGGTTTAGGTTTCGGTGTTTTGGGGCCCTCGCCGGGCCCCTGGAGATCAACAACATTAGCCTGGCGAAGGACCTAAACATTTGCATTTGAGAGCGCCGTCGTTGTGAGTATCGCCTTCGTTGCATCTCCTGATGGGGCCACAAAGCGTGTGAAGGGTGTGCTGAAATAGGGTCGGGCGGCCATGCGGGCGCTGCCACTGGGGCTTCAACCGAGGGGGGTCTTTAGTTATTCCCGCCCCTTTCTCTCGGCGGGGATACACTCGCCCCTTCTCCTCCTCCTGCTCCACCTGCTCCTCCTCTTCCTCCTCCTCCTCCTCCTCCTTATATGCTCCTAAGGAGGGGGAGGCATCGTAATCGTAGTGGTTGTCGTTGTCGTTGGCGTTGTTGTGCGGCGAATGCCGCGGAGAAATGACTATGTTCCACACTAGTTGGGACCCCAGTCCGTCAATAAGGACCCCGAACATTTAATTTGTTTCCAACTATTTGTGGGTGTTCTCCAGGCTTAACCTGGTTACAGTGAGCCCCCTACGGGGCCACGAAGCTTGTGAGGGGTGTGCCGACATGGGGCCGGGCCGCAATGCGGGCAATGCCACTACGGCCTTCGGTGGAGCTCCCTATGGGACCATGAAGCGTAGCATGCGGGCTCTGGCCTTGGGGCCTTTGGTGGAGCTTCCTATGGGGCCACGAAACGTGGAAGGGGTGCGCCGACATGGGTGGGGCGGCCACGTGTGGTACACCCTCTTGGGGCCTTCGGTGGAGCTCCCTATTGGGCCACCCACGCAACGTGTAAGGGGCGTGCTGAAATAGGAAGGGCGGCTGCAGGTGTTACACTCCCCTGGGGCCTCAGGTGGAGCTCCCTCTATGGTACGACGAAACGTGTGAACGATATGGCGAAAGGGGTGCGGCTGCCGCATGTGTTACACCCCCATGGGGCCTCAGGTGGAGCTCCCTATGGGGCCAAGACGCGTGTGAAGGGTGTGCCGAGAAGGGGTGGGGCGGCCGCATGAGGTACATACCCCTGGGGCCTTCGGTGGGGCGGAGCTCCATCGACAGGGCCACGAGATGTAAAGTCGGGCGTGTCCCTCTACAGGAGGAATGTGCAATAATGGTCAGGAAATGTCTTGTGACGATCTGTCGTGCTCTTTTGATGATTGTTGGATTACTCAATTTTCAAAATCCGCCTGTAGGAGGACATGCCCGACCGAACGTGAGATCCGCCATGGGCGGCTGCCCGCGTTGTAGATGTCTGGGCCCAAGTATATGTGTGTATATATGTGTGTTTGTATATATGTATATATATACATATGTATGAGCACACATACATACACACACACATATATATATATATATATATATATATATATAAGCGGCGTCTGGGTCCCCGCGGCCTGGGGTCGCACACTCCCCCCCCGTAGCCGAATTTGCCCCCTGGACTGCGGGGGGCATTTTTGACCCCGCTTTCGGAGTCGCAAATTTTTTTCCGCTTCCCCGAGGCGTCCACCTAGGCTTTTGGAGACGGCAAGAAGCCGCCAAGACGGCCCAATAGCGCTCCAAGCCGCCCAAGATGGCCCCATGATCGGCCCAAGAGGCCCCCAAGCGGCCCCAAGGTCGCTCCGCGAGCACCTCCAAGAGAGCCCCACTACGCCAAAATCATTGATTTTAACGCTGTTTTCCCATATTGTTTGCTTTCTCATGTTTTCGAGCGGCCGACACTCCAAGACTGCCCAAGAAGCCTCCAAACTCGCCCCAAGAGGCCCCCAAGAGGCCCCCAAGACGGCCCAAGAGGGCCGCATGATCGGCCCAAGAGACCCTCAAGACGGCCCAGGAGGGCCTGAAGAGGGCCTGAAGACGGCTCGAAGATGGGCCCAAGAGAGGGCACGCGAACCGACCTTCGAGCTTCCCGCCCCCAGAGGCCCCCAGGAGGCCCCAAGAGGCCCCTAAGTGGCTCCAAGAGGCTCCAAAGAGGCCCCAAAGATGCCGAAGAGAGGTCCGACAAGCTCCACAACGCCCCCGTGGAGGCTTCAAACCTGCTTCCAAAAGGCCCCCCTAGAGGCATCTCACGATATCATTCCAGCGAACATCCGAGAAGCCTCTAACCGACAACCCAGACACGGTGGCGGGATGGGCCCAGAACTGAGACCTCTGGTTCGCATGAGGGGCTGGGGGGGCCTTGAGGGCCCCAAGAGGGTTCAGAAGGGGCCCCAGACCCCCCCCGAGGCTCCCAAGCTGGCCCAAGATATTCCCAGGAGGCTCCAGAGAGCCCTCCAAATGCCCGAACAGAGGCGCCCTCTGCCCCAAGAGGCACCCTGGAGGCCCCACGAGACTCCCAGGAGGCCTCCACGACGCCCCAAGAAGCCCCCCAAAAGGGCTCCAGAGGCCCGAGAAGCTCCCGAGAAACCCCCACCGAGCTCGTAGGAGGCCTCCTACACAGACCCTCAAAAGCCCGCCAGAAGCCCTTCGTCCTCCATGCTCCGGAACAGCCCTTCGGAACACGTGGCCCTGGCTGCACCCCCCGACACCCACCCAATGTCGAGGCCCGAGGACGCCCCCATGACGCCTGCAAGACGCTCCGGAAACGCCTCTCCCGCACACGTGGACCAGGTGATAATGATGCTGATTGTCGGTGGTCCGTCGTTGTCGTCGTCGTCGTCGTCGTCGTCGTCGGTCGTCGCTGGTACGCTACAGGCCAAACCCTTCCTTGAACTTCGCCGTATCCGCCCGAACTCACGCATGGGTGAAAGGGAGGATCCCGGAAGACCACATGGAAAAGGTCTCATGGAAATAGACACCGTCTTCGGAATCGGCTACAACCTAAGCGCTCGCGAAGCGCGCGCGTGGTTCTGGTAGAAGATTGTGCTTACACGCCAGTCGTTGAAAGCAGGCGTAGCTTGGAAATCTCGATCCCAATCTACTTCAAGCGCTGTCCTATTCCAAGAACCGATCTGCTGTTGCTGTGTTATGTTCTTCGCTGGCATGGCCCGAACCCAACTTTGCATTATCCGCGCTCCCACTTCATACTTCTGCCTACTTCTGGCGACCGGCGGTGAGGGTAGGTCGATCGAGGAAATCCAGATCCCACTACATGTCAGGCGCCCTCCTACAGTCGGGGCGCTGAAGAAGGAGACCTTTTCGTTGGGGAGGGGCTCGGTGTTCCTTGATTGTTCCACACCTTGCCTGAGGTTGTCCTTGGGTGTTCGATGGGAGGTCGAGATTTGACTTACGAGAAAAAGGGGGCCTCGTTCCTTATTGCGAAGGCCTTACGGCCAGTGCCGCCGACCCTGAATGGCGACGACGACGACGAGCGCTCTCGGGTGCCTCTTCGGGATAGTTTGCGGGCCTCTTGGGAAGCTCTGGGGGGCCGCTTGGAAGCCTCGTGGGGGCCTCTTGGGGTCTCTGAGGGTCCCTTGTTTAACTTACGAGAAAGAGGGGGCCTCGTTCCTTCTTTGGGGTTCCTTAGGTCCACGCCTCCACTGTACTTCAAGGGCCGAGCGGCTCTGCCTCTTCCCTCCTCGTCGGAGGGCGGGCGGACGCCCAGTCCACTTCCGGCGCCTTCCTCCAAGCAGTGGCGAAGCGTGTTGGCTTGCCTATGGGCCCGCCAGACAATGTTCTAGGAACCTTTTGCGGTCTGCACGACGTGCCCTTCGAACACGTATGGTTGGGACTGTGTTGTCTCAACACATCGGGCCTATGTTCTAAGACTATGGTTTACTGTTCTCAGAACATCTGGGGGTTCTGAGAACATCTCGTGGTAGGCCTGTAGGATTGCTGGGACGGTCGGTCCTTGCTCAGTTCCTACTTCCTGCTTCTACCCACTTCTTGAGACCGGCGGACATGCCTCGGTATCGTTTATCCGATCCCCACCCTCATCTCCCCTTAGAGACCCCCACCACATTACACCCCAAGTTGGGGATACACCCCTCGAAACCCGAGGGGAATTCCGTTTGTCCCCATCTAGGGGGGCAAATCGGCCAGTGGGGCCCAGGCCACGCCGCTGGGGCTGGGGACCGGTGAAAAAAGATGCTCGGTGCCGGTGTGCCCTTCCGCCCCTGTCTGGGGACGGCTCGAGGGCCGCCTGGGGGCCCCGAGAGGCGGCCCGGGAGGGCTCGGAGGCCGCGGGGGGCGGCAGGGCTGCTCCAGCGGCCTGGCTGGCGGGGCTCCTCCGGTGTTCCTGCGGGTCGATTCGGTTTGATGTTGATGGCGGCCGAGTCCGCTTCGATCCGGCCTGGGATCCCGAGTTGTCAGAGGAGCAAGAAAGGTACCCAGTATGCCTCTGCCCTTCCCCTTCTTTTCCTCTCATGCGGGCCTCTCGGGAGGCCCCCTCGTCGCCACCGCGGGGTTCGCCTCGGAGTTCTGGTTAGCAGTATCAGTACCTCTTTGGATTCCCCAGAGCGTGGGTTCCGACTTCTTCTCGGAGGCATGCTGGCCTGCCGATTTCTGCCGATTCGACTTCTCCCGACTCGGCTGCCGATGTCCGCCGATCCGATTCGCTTCGACCGCCGCCGATCCGACTCGTCGATCGATCCTGGGCTCTCCTGCTGCCCCTGGCGGCCCCTCGCGGTGAGCCGTGGGGGTCGGCACGACACACGAAGACTGGCAGGAGGGGAAACAGAAACACGCAGACACAATGAATCGGCGATCCCCAGGAAAGCATGTGGGAAGACGTGGGAAGTGGGGGGGAAGACGGAACTCCAGGAAATATAAGAAACTGTTTGGAATACTGATCTGTGTGTCCCTAGGCCCCTTCAGACTGGCAGCATCCCCTGTCCATTTTGCACAGGGCTCGCTTTCGGGCGTCGCCGCGGGCGTTGTCCGTCCGGGCGACGCAGAAGCACGGGCTCGATTGCGCCGACGTTCGCGCGTGCACTCCCCGCGCAGGGTGGCGTGCAAGCGCCCTTGTTTCCATAGTGTGGCGTGCCGCGCTTGCGGCCCGCGTAAGCCATCGCGCAGTGTCGCTGTGCCGTCTTGCGTGAGGCCCGTTGTTTTTCGTCGGCTGCCTGCCCAACAGCGGCCGTTGGTCGGTTCTGGACATCATCGGCTGTTGGGCATCGTGCCCATTTGAGCGACGCAAAGAACGGGGTCGTTTGCGCCGACATTGGCGCGTAAGCTGCCCGCGTAAGGTCGCGCGTAAGCGCCCTCGCTTCAAATGTGGCGTGCCGCGCGGGCGACCCGCGTGAGCCACCGCGTAAGGTCGCTACGCTATCTCGCGTGAGACCCGTGGTTTGATCTTCTCTCATCTGTTCCATACGCATTTCGGGCGTGTCCATGGTTGCAGGGCGTCACCGCCCGATCGGAGCGCACGTTCTCCGGCGCGCCGCGCCCGCGCAGGGGGAGGACGGGTTGCAGATCCTGGAGAAGGCGCCCCGCGACCCGATTCCCCGAGATCTGGGGGATCGCATCTGTTCCACGCCAGGCGTTCTATTCGCCGGGCCTCAGGCTCTGGGGCCCTCGCGGGTCGGTTCCGCTCGGAAGATGCAGCGGAGAGACGGGGGCTAAGGTCTGGGGCTCTGGTCGGGTTGTATCGCGATGTTGCATTTTTTGTTCGCGTCGTCGGATCTCAGGGTTCAGTCTCTCTCTCTTCCCTGGCCTTGCAGGGCTGGGGGGGGGAGGGGGGGAGGAGGAGGGGGAGGGGAGGATGGCGGGGAGGAGGGAATGGAGGGGAAGAGGAGGGAGGATGGAGGAGGGGAGGGGGGAGGAGGAGAAGGAGGAGGTGGAGGAGAAGGAGGAGGAGGTGGAGGAGGGAATATTGATGAGGAAGAAGGATGGGGGTGGATGATGGGAGGTAGAGGTAGAGGAGTAGAGGCGGAGGAGGAGGGGGAGGAGGAGGGGGCAGAGGAGGAGGAAGAGGAGGAAGAGAGGAGGAGGAGGAAGAGGAGGAGGAGGAGGACGACGCGGACCGTAGCCATTCTGGCCCAAGTGGGAGTTCGCCCTTCATTTGAGCCGAAATGATGTACGTAGTCATGTTGGCTCGGACGTTCGTGCTGTCTCCGCCTTCGGCTCGAGGTCCCGATGGGCGCTTCAAGCTCATGCGGAAATCTCGTGGTGCAGGCGTGCATCCTTGATGGCCAGTGGTTGACAGCTTCCGTGGGGGGGGGGGCGGCGTCCGGGGGCCGATCGCCGCAGGACTCGTGTGCTCGCACTTGTGCACCCGCTGCTTAGCTGCGTCCCAGGCCGCTGTGGTGGAGTTGTGCTGTCGGGGCTGCGCGGTGGACTTCATCCTGACTGGCTTCCTGGTGCTCGTGAGGGTGCATCGTTTTTGGCCGGGCGGGGGGTCGCCCCATGGTCGTGGTACGTCGCGCTCGCCGCGTTGAGCTTGGAGCGTTTGGACTCGCAGCCCTCTTCTGCCATGGGCATGCGACCTGGCAGCGGTGTGTGTGTGTGTGTTTGTGTCATCGCGTTTGGATTGGGGCTGGTGGCAGTTCAGCCGACCGCATGAGAGTAATGAATGTGGCTGGCTGGACATCGGGCGTCATGGCACCCTCGGAGCGGTACTTCCATCGTGCGCCGCTTCTTCAAGGGCCTTCACGCTTCTTCGACTGACGCCGTTCCTCCGTGGCGAGCGAGGACTTTGGGACCTGGCCGGACGGTGCTAGAACGACGGTCAATCCGTCCCAGATCGTTCGGGAACACTCCCAGCGCGTTCAGGAACTCTCTGAGAAGGCCGCGGCGCCCGAGACATCTTCCATATAGGGGGCCACATGCGAACCCTACCCTTACCCCCCACGATTTCTGGGGGGAAGGGTGGGGTTCAACTCGCTTCGTCTTACCTGGAGTGTGCGCCAGGAGAATCGGGGGCGGCCAAGAGAGGGGTGATGACTAGGGTTGAGTCGGGCATGTCCGTCTACAGGGGGGAACATTTAGAAATAGTCAGGGGACGATTGTTTGAGCATAGTTTCCCTATTTTGTGGTATTTTCTGTCTGTTTCATTTTTCCTCCAAACTCCGCCTGCAGGGGGACATGCCTGACCTAAGACTGGGGGGCTTGGATTTCATGGCAGGGGCCATGACATTTCCCCAAATTTCATGGCGCCTCCCCTTATTTCAATACGTCCCTGGCCCCCCCTTTGCCGCGAACCAATCGCCAACCATGAGTTGCGCCCCCCCTCTTGGCCGCCCCCCTCTTGGCCGCCCCCGAGAGAAGGACGCCGAGGAGAGCGGTCGTCCCCCGTCCGCCCGTTTAGTCCCCCTCCGTCTCCTTCCCGCGTGCGCGGCGGGGGTGGTGTCGGCGCCACCCCAACATGCTAATTCTAAGTCGGACATGTCCCTCTACAGGAGGACATATTCACAAGTAGTCCGACAATACTATGGGGACGACTTTTGGACAATATTTGGCTCTTTATGAGCATGTTTCAACTATTTTCCATGTTTATCAAAATCCGCCTGTAGGAGGACATGTCCCGTGCGCTTTCTGGCCGTACCGCTCGGGAACCCATCTGATACAGGATGGTTGTATTACATATTCGGGTCGGTCGCACGCCTCCAAGGAGGACAAACAGTGCTAGTACGCGCCTGTAGTAGGCATTTTCGGACTCCCAGATCCCAATTGACCTGAGGCGTCTTCCTACTTCACGGATCGAGCGTTTTCACTTCTTCCCTCCTCTTCAGGGGGCGGGCGGAAGCGCAATCTGCTGCCGGCGCCTTCCTGCTTCACGCTTCTGCCCGCTCCTTCCGACCGACGGGCACGTGATTCTGGGTCCCGGGGAAGGAAACTCCGAGAGGTATCCAAGAGGCCTCTGGCCTTTCGGCTCGTCCTCCTCATCCTCCTCCACTTCTTCATCCACCTCCCCTCCTCGGGAGAGGAAAATCGGCGTCACCCCAACACAATGTGCGTCGCACCCCCCAGAGGCGACGCGCGCACCGAGAAGTCTTGTAGTAGTATGTGTGTGTGTGTGTTTGTGTGTGTGTGTGTCGCGGCGGGCGCTTTCTGGCCACACCGCTCGGGAAAGGATACATTACACGATGGGTATACTATATCTTCGGGTCGGACGCACCAGTGTGCCTCTGCGCGTGTGCACCAGTGTGCCTCTGCGCGGGCCTCCAAGGAGAACGTATAGCACCAGTGTGCCTCTGCGCGTCCCAGGAAAAGGTGCCTATTCAGCTGCCCTTCGCCCGGCGCCCCCTTTTCTCGCCCTCTTGGGAGGCCCTCGTCGTCGCCGACGATGGATTCGTGCCGAACTTCTGGTCAGAGCGCACCCCGAGAGGGCAGAGGTCTGGGGAGTAGCGGAAACGGTACCTTCTCATTCCCCCAGCTCCCGTTGATTCGTCCTTCCGTTTCTTCCCAGCCCCCTCTTTTCGCTTTCCCTCGTTCCCCTTCCCATTCGAGATTGTTTTTTTATCCTCTGGGGGGTAACGCTCGTTACCCGGGCCTCTCCCCCCCCCCCCCCCCCGTAACGGTACCGCTCGTACGCGGGGGGGGTCTCGGTCTTCCCCTCCAACATGCTGGTGCCCGAAGGCATGCGCACTGTGGTGTGGTGGTCGCAGGCGCACTGTGGGCGCTCGCAGGCCATTGCGGCGCTCGCATGCGCGATGCTGGTGCTTGCGGGCTTTGCGCTTGTACTCGAATCGTCGTCGTCGTCGTCGACGGCGCCCGAAAAACGGCCTCCGGAGTCCGACAAAGGCACAAAAACAACGTCGTCGTCGTCGTCGTCGTCGTCCTCGTTGCCGTCGTCGTCGTCGTCGTCGTCGTCGTCGTCGTCGTCGTCGTCGTCGACGGCGCCCGAAAAACGGCCTCCGGAGTCCGAAAAAGGCGAAAAACGTTGTCGTCGTCGTCGTCGTCGTCGTCGTCGCCATCGTCGTCGTCGACGGCGCCCGAAAACGGCCTCCGGAGGGCGAAACAGGCGGCAAACGTCGTCGTCGTCGTCGTCGTCGTCGTCGTCGTCGTCGTCGTCGTCGTCGTCGTCGTCCTGCTCTATGGCCTTCCCCCCTAACATGCTGGTGCCCGAAGGCATGTTGTGCTGCTCACAGGTACACTGCGGTTCTCGTGTGCTACCATGGCACACGCAGGCTTGTGCGGGGTGTTCGAGGACGAGTTGCGCTGCTCGCGAACGTTTTCGGTGCCGACACGGTTTGGCATGCTGTTGTATACGCGCGCGTTGTGGCGTTCGCAGGCACGCTGGTGGTTCTCTAGCGCCCGCTCACATGTGTGCCGCCGCGGTCGCCGGTGCTCACACGCATGGCGCCTTGACCGCAGGCGTGGCGCGGTGATCACAGACCGCGATGGCGGGGATAAGGAGGAGGAGGAGGAGGAGGAGGAGGA